ACAAGTTAACTTTGCAAAAGATAGATTTATGTGAGCCTCTAATCGAAGTTATATAATTGGGTTTAAACTACACAATTCATAATTAATGAAAACATATTTAAGTTGTCGTTAATCAGATTAATAAGTGTTTATAAAAGATTGATGTGAAAACCCTAAATTTCTTTTACTTGGAAAACTAATTACATAGATATTAATTAAATTAATATTTAATTAGAAACACATAAGTACGTGGCATGGGGAACCTTCACTTCTGGATAGAAGATTACGTTGCTAAGCTTACATACTCATCATCCTTGCTTGCTAGCTTGCATTATTGACATGCATGCACGGTGCTATTTGCTTGAAGGTTTGCATATGTTGCAGTAGGAACACAAAGGACGGATCGCAAAGCAGGCTTGCAAGGCAGGGAAGCAGTAGGTCGGCTGCAGCCATGGCCGGCTGTCATAGACACGGTCGTCGGTTGGACAGCCGAAAGCAAGGCAGCCTGTGAGGTACGTGATTGGAGATCGGCGCAGTGTTAACGTCGAAGTCGAATTAAGAAACGAAATGTGGAAGGCGCAGAGTTTCTCACCGACGGCAGAGAAGCGGTGGATCGACGAAGCGGTGGATCGACGAAGCGGTGACGCCCGGACTTGTAGAAAAAGACTGGCGTAGTAGAAAAGGAGAAAATCTAGTTTACTACCTAGGCATTGCCAAACCAGGGCTTCCCTTATGATAACCAGGGGCTTCCCTTATGATAGTTCTATGTGTTTTGCTAAAGGGTTGATACATATATAAAGGGAGAAAAACTCTCCACCTTCACATCAACTAGCAATATGGTATTAATTGATGTTGCATCGTCCACCTCCACTAATAGGCCTGAATAATCATTTAAGTCCATTAGTAAATAAAGGCATGGGCTTTGAGAGTCGATGAAAAATTGGGCTCGGATTTTTCTATTTTCGAAATTTATTAATATCATGAAATAAAAATAATTCTAGGAAGTCTAGAATTACCATTTATATCATGAAAAATGCTCTGAAGCTCTGGAGATAAATTGAAGGACGAGGAACTCAGACAAAATATTTGGAGCTCAAGGAAAGATTGTTGGAAACTTGGAACATAAAGATTAAGGTCAAAGAGGTAGAGATTAAATTCCAGAAAGAACCTAGAAAATTTCTAAAGATAGATACTTGTCTCCTAAATGTATTTTTGCACATAGAAACACAAGGTGCGACCGGCATGAATGCAACAAACATGTTTCTACCTTAAGATAAATTTTAATTTAATAAAAATTTATTATTTCCCTATGTTCTCATCTCACACCCAATTTTAAGGATAAAATTGAATGCATAAAACTCATATGTGCCCATGGACCAGTCCCACACATAAGTTGACAAATTACAAAAAGTATCATCATGGTGTATCTTACATCACGATTAATACCATCACATAGTCTTACACAACACAGCGGAAAATAAAAAGGTAGCTCTCTCGTGGTAGCTCCAACACAGGGATGGTCAACTGGTTAACCACAAACCTAAAAGTCATCTGGAAACTCCTCATATCCGTTGACATATGTTACCTATTCGAGATTTTTATCCAAATATTGAAAGTAAACAAGCGTAAGTACTTCCCGTACTTAACAAGATAACATGGGGTTATGAAAGCTCAAAAAGGGTGACTCTGGTTTACTACGGTTAGCACTTTTAGTAAGTCAAGATTTTATTATCAACTATTATCAAGTTATGCTTAAGCTCTAATTAAACCCACATGATTGGATATCAGAAACAATTGAATCATATTAACTTCATAGAACATCATAAATGAAAAACAATAAGTAACCATTTATTCTGTGAGTTTTTTGGGCCGCTCGTGACCGTGAGCACGGCTGTTATAACAGTTTGTAACACTCTGCAGAGGTTGTGCACTTTCACCGTGAGTCGTGATTTCCATATGCCGGGTTAATTACTCCTATAACACTATCAAAGTGAGCAGGTGGGGTACATTATGAAGCCATTTCATAGGTTTCTCTAACAAGTTAGGGCCGCTAGGTTTCCTCGGCAGACAGATGTAGGAACCCCCTTTCCTATGGCACATCTTTATCGCGGCTATACACATTGGAGTAGAGGCAACCCTATAACCAACATGGCAAGCCCCTTTTTGCGCCATAAAGGTAACCTCTAACAAGCTAGAAAATGTCTTATTATTGAGCTAAAGTTAGAGCCATGTGACCCTCACGGTTGCACTGTCAGTTCCAGCTTTTGCCGATAGATAGTCCTTATGGAGGGCTAAGAGCATCATGATCAAAAGTCATTTGCTCATTCGCCCTATAATTTAGTTGTTTAAAAGCAAATTTTACCTTTTTGTTGTTTAGAACCTTTAATCATTATGTAGATCATGTACAGTTACATTGAGCGCTAGCAAACTACCCATATGCATATAACCCGTAGGAGACAAGGAAACATGATACTCAATCACTAGGATGTCCTTACGGTTATTAAAATTAGACACATGTAAATGAGAAATTAATAAATGGTGAATAGGACATCAAGGTAGATCCCATGCTATACTTGTCTTGCTCAACGAACTCGGGCTGCTCCTGCTGGTCGTCAAAGAACTCTTGGTCTCCAACGTTCTCCTCATCGTCTGAACTTGACCAACAAAGCAACATACAAGCATTCCAAAGGCATTCATGCAAAGCAAACAATTATGGGATTAGAACAGTACACTAGAGCATAAAAACAAGATAAAAAGGTTCTTGAAAAAAATCTACGTCTCTCTACGATCACATAGACACGAAGTTCACAAAAAACGGAGCTAAACACATGAAAGTTATGAATTAAACGGAGTTTCCTATAGCAATTTATTTAATTAATTCTAACCTCAAAATTTAAATGTTGCAAACATGTTTGACAGTGGCATTAACATGTAGAGAACTTAATTACGAACCTAACGAAATTTCAACGGGTCGATTCGGAGCTAAAACAACGATTTTATAAGCAAAACAATGTAGTGACATTTTTGTAAATAGAATGAACTATTTTTGAATTTAAATAAATCAGAAAAATCAGGATTTTCATCTGGCCGAGGACTGCGGGTGTAAAAAGAATAAAGACGGAGACTCTTAAGCAATTCTGCCACGCGAAGGGGTATCGGCCATCCTGGGCCATTGGATCAAGGATGGACAGCTCAGATTAGGAAGGGGAAGAGAGAGGGGGAGGCGCCGAGCGGAACAGTGGCGGCCGCGGCGGCGCAGCCATTGCCGGCGGCGAGGAGGTCGTCGGCGAGCGGGAAACAAGGCCTTCGGGCCATGATTTGATGAACCGAGGGCGCCGGGAGAGAGAGGAGGTGAAGGCGATCTCGCCTAGGACGAGAACACGGTCGGAGGACACGGCCGACGCGGTGGTGGCCATGGCCGGCGGCGAGAGCTCGCCGGCGCACTCGAAAATGGCCATAGTAGCCACCATTTGCCATGGGAAAAGGTCGGGGAGAGAAGGAGAGCACGCGAATCTCACCACGGTGAAAATCGGAGACGAAGGCGGCTCGGGGACGGCGGACCACGTGGAGGGACAGACGGCGGACCTCGGCGCTGCGGTTGCGACTTCCGCGTGCACGGGCGAATGCGAGAGTGGATGCATCAACATGTATCTATTCTTATAGTTCATTTTAATTTCATAAAAATTATTATTTCCTATATTTGAATGCACACATAATTGCATAAATAAATCAAATTTAACTATTTTAAAAGAATGCAAATTTTAGGGTGTTACATCTCATGAGCATAAAAATACAAAATTAAATTATTTTAGCTCTATTTCATGAGAAGCAAATTTTAGGGTGTTATATTTTGTATAATATTACTAAATATACAATTTATATATGTAAAGTTCAAATATACAAGAAAGTATGCACATTTATGTATGTAAAAATATTTATTACAAAAAACAGATTTTACGATTATTTAGGGACTAAACAACAAGGTTGATCATCATTTATGGTTTAAATATTGTTTAAATGGCCCAAATGACCATTTAGGCGAACCGTGCCTAAAATTCGACCCCATGTATGAGCACAACTTGATGGAATAGTTTGTCAAATTTAGATTTTAAAAAGACATAATTCAAAAAACAGTACTTTAAATCCTTAGATATTTTGAGTAACTCCAAATTTTCACAATTTTATTTTGGATATCAAACTAGAAAAAAAAAATGAAGGAACCTGATTTTCAAAACTCTGGATTCTAGTTTTAGGACATTAGAGGAATTGAAGTTAGAGATCCAATTTTGATTTTGTTGAAACAACCAAGCTTTGAGATTTGAAAAGCATTACAAGATTTCAGGGCAGTAAAGCACCGTGGTGAAACCAAATGCACACAAAGGATTATTATTCCAGACACGCATTTCAGTAATAAACTATACACCATGTAATCTCACATAGAAGATCACAGTGAAGCACAAGGCAAGGTATGTTGAATTTTTTAGTAAGCTGTTCATAATAATCTGATTAATCTAACGAACGAAAGGCCTCCACTTTGTTCTGGAGCACATGATCCTTTTGGTAAAAAGACCCACCATGGAAAGCCAGAAAGACACATGCATGCATTTTTCTTAAAGCAGCTAATAAAGTTATTAAGGGAAAAATACATAATTAAACATGAACGTGCTATCCATGAGAGATTGGTGAAATGCTTGCAGAGCAAGTTATGTAACATTAGCATGAGCCCCTAAATTCTTTCGGAATATATGCTAACTATAACCTATAACGTAGAGGAGCCATGTGCCGATGTGTATTTAGATCCTTTTTCATCATCATTATTATCTTGATGGTGTTCATCATCTCGATTATTTGCGTAGGCACTGATCATACCAGCTGCAAGTTACACATGGGACATGGCTCATGGCTGTAACCAGTGAGGTCGTTGATGATTCCCACGTAAAAACCTCCCATGAGCGACAGTTTAAAAGTCCAGCAGGGTACCTCTTGGATGGACCGACAAGAGCACACAGCACTCAGTAGCAATGGCAGCGCCTGTGGCAGCAGTAGTGCTCCTCCTCTTCCTCCTGCAACTGGCCTCCTTGTACCCCAGCGCGATCCTTGCCGATGCGGTGCTTGGTCGGAAGGCGGGACTCCTCGTCATGGACGACGCCGACGAGCCGGCGGAGAGTATTAATACCCCGGCGGCGGCTGGGCCGCCGGGGAGGTACGCCGTGATCTTCGATGCCGGCAGCACGGGGACCCGGATGCACGTCTTCAGGTTCGACAACAAGATGGACCTCGTCGGGATTGGCCACGCCATCGAGTTCTTCGCCAAGGTATAGCCTCATCACAGCACAACGACGAACCCGTGTTTTCTTCCCTCTCTCGTTTTCTTTTGGCCCGTTGGCTGATAGTACAAGAAAACCAGCTGCCAGTGCTTGTGTAGTTGTGTACACTGCAACCAAAGAGTATATATGTTATTGTTACTGATTGGGCAATGAGCATGCTGCAGACAGGAAAAAATTGGTTGGATGGTCCTCACAATGTACCGTGATCACCTACCACGGATTCACGACACATGTCTATGTAAAATCATCCAATACACGTATGTGTTAGATAATTTTGCATGCACACGTGTCATTGATTAGTGGTAGGTGCCAACGGATGTCCCATGAGGACTGTCTCTATCGAAGTTTTTCCCTATATATAGGAGTATAGGTAGTACAAGTACAATACATTTATGCGTGGATTTCGATAGATAATGTAACCTCGACCTTGTTAATTTGTTGGTGCAGGTGAAGCCTGGGCTAAGCTCATATGCTGGGCAACCCCAAGAGGCCGCAAACTCCATACTACCTCTCGTCAAGAAGGCCAAGAGGGTTGTCCCTTCGCAGCTAATGGAGAAAACCCCTCTTAAGCTTGGAGTACGTGAAAACAAATTCCTACCTTTTTCTTAAGTGAAACACTGTCAATATAATTGAATCATTTATGAAATGCATACATCCTCCTCTGGACTCTAGTCACCAGTTGACAAGGTACAATAATCGCCGTGTTCGGCTGGTAAAGATGGGCTGGTTGGATCACTTTTTTTTTTCAGCCGGAACAGTGTTTTTCTCTCCCAAAATATCAGCTTGAACAGTAAATCCGTACCAGCATGAACAGTACTTCATCCCAGCCGAACACGCGGAATAAGATTATAGGTGATGTGGTCTACTTACAAACAAATGGATCATCACACTCCTTTTTTTTAAAGAAAATTGCGCACTAGAATAAATTTGAATAGTGCATCTAGTATGACCTTTACAGTTTTTTTATTACCAAAATCAAGGGGTTGCATATATAACATGAAACCGAAGAAAACTAATCAAAGCAAAATTGGTGTGAAGCTATATATATATCCACCAGAATTAGCAATATCAACAGGTTCTTTGTGTATCCCTAATGTTTTCTTTTATTGTACCAATCGAATCTTTAGGCAACTGCAGGGTTGAGACTTATCGGAGACGAACGAGCCGACAAGATTCTTGAAGCGGTAATATATTGCATCTTAATTACCTATGGGTTTTGTATCAGCACTTGGCACACACCATCATAGCAGACATGAACATGATAATATATATTAACCGAAGGACTAATTAAAGATATTCCAAATTACATACAGGTTAGGGATCTTGTCCACACCAAGAGCCAATTCCAATACAACCCTGATTGGATCAATGTTATTGAAGGATATCAAGAAGGGTCTTATCTATGGGTATGACTTAGTTTTTGGCAGCCATGCATATATTGACACCCCTCCACATCATGCACACACGCACACTCTACACTATTTGTTGTATGTATATATGTCTATTGTTACAATTTGCTAGCGTATGGCATTTGATGGTGTAGGTTGCTCTAAATTATCTGTTGGATAAACTGGGAGGGGATTACTCCCAGACGGTCGGTGTAGTTGACATGGGAGGTGGATCCTTGCAAATGGCCTATGCCATTTCTGCAAATGATGCCGCAAAGGCTCCTAAAGTACCGGATGGAAATGATCGCTATGTTACAAAAGAGTATCTTAAAGGGAAAGACTATAACATCTATGCTCACAGGTCTGAATTCATCGCATTAGCTTGGATAAAAGGCTAGTTTGTCAATTTTATTAATTATAAGGCGATATATACAAGGAGTGGTCACCGAGAACCTTTAAATTTTCTTGCAGCTACTTGCACTATGGTGCTTTTGCAGCTCGAGTAAAGATTCTAAATGCAAAGTGTGGACAATTTAGTTTCTGCATGCTGCGTGGATTCAAAGGTGTGTATGTTTACCTTGCTCATACAAGCATTTCATTTTTATTTTTATTTCTTTTATAATTTTAAATGTAATGTTCCCTATTTTTTTTAAAAGGTAACTACACATACAATGGGCAGCAATATGATGCAACCGCCTCACCTGAAGGAGCAGTGTATGAAAAATGTAGGGAAGAGATAACTAAGGCACTAAACCTGAGTGCCCCATGTAACACAAAGAGTTGCACCTTCAATGGTGTGTGGAATGGGGGAGGTGGAGCTGGTCAGGACAACCTCTACCTTGCATCAAGCTTTCACTTTTTGGCCGCACAGGTATTAATTAAAACTAATAATTCCTCAAATTATGATTGATATGTAATTGGAATGTGTGCAAGCCACAGTATGTATGTTAACATTTTCTTCTCCATATGAAAAGGTTGGGATCATAGATGGGAAATTCCCCAGTGCAAAGTCGACCCCTTCTGCGTTCAGAGTTGTTGCAAAGAAGGTTTGCCAAATGAGTGTTAAAGAAGCAAAAGCTGCATACCCCAGTGTTCAGGACATCCATGTGCCATACTTGTGCATGGATCTTACTTACCAGTACACATTGCTCGTAGACGGCTTCGGTTAGTAGAGAATTAGTTCTGAATATTATTTACTCCACATGCAAGAAACTTCTTTGTAGTAAAATAGGATGTTACACATCATGCATGTATATATGTAATTCATGTGATTATTGTTGTGTGCTTGTGTAGGCCTGAAGTCAATAAAAAAGGTCACATTGGTATCCAAGGTGAAGCATGGAGAGTACTACGTTGAAGCTGCGTGGCCTTTGGGTACTGCCATTGAGGCATTGTCACCTAAAAAGGGGCATGGATCTACATGAGATAGGCTTTGAGCCTACAGGCAACAGCACAACCTGAGCGCATGTTAACAAGGGGTCAACAACTGAAGTAGTGTGTATTCAAGTATAAATTGCTATTATATCTTTCAATATATATGTGTTCTCCAACATATTACAATAATTTGATTGTGAGGGGCGGCCATGATTCATGCTGCCATTAACTTAGTTCCATCCCAACTCAATCATGAGCATCTAATTTGTAACTTTCGGGCAGTTTTAATTTATAGTTGCCTACTAAGTGTTTTTAGAAGTGAGGCATATAGAACCCGTGGACCCCTTGCTTAATTTGCGCGAGCCCTCCTTGCCACTACGTTACACCAGCTAGACAATTACTTGTGACCAAGTATCGGTGGCCATGGAGGGGCACGATTAGGGGAGGAAAGGAGCAAAAGAGAAAGGTTGAGGTACCGACCGATATGATACTATATTTGTAACAGAGGTAAATCACATAATGTAGTACCACTGTAGTAGGACTCTAACGATTGATATTTAAGGCCTATGGTCAAATCTATGTAAAGCATGAACCTTTTAAAATATGATTTTCCTAATCAATAAAGAAAGAAATATTTTTTAATCAATCTGCGTCAGCCACTGATCCGAACACTGATATGCACGTGAAGCACAGTGGACCTCTGAGAGGAGGGCTCGACACACTGCTGACCATCGATGAGATGGCTACAGAGTTGGCACAAGGCTGTTTGACAAAGAGATTCACCAAAATATGCCCATGGAGTAGGTCATTGAGGTGCCGTAAGTGACCTCTAATGTTCAACAGACATGGCTTCGGGTCGCCACTTCTGCTAAGGGTGTTGTTCTAGTAGAGGATACATCTGATAAGTTATAATGAGGAAGTTGTTCCAGATGCACAAGTGACAATTGAGGACACTATCTTTGTCATTGCCCACAAAGACGACCCTATCCATTGTACAATTGAGGTCAAGGCAGAAGAGCCTTGGTTGACAGAGGATTCATTGACAGAGGCAACATCTTCTTTTACCACTACAACTAGGATGGATGATGTGAAGGCCCTATCTTTGTACACACCGCACATGCACATCAGAACCAACAAATTATCTCCTTCACCATTGACCAGCATAGCAAGATACCATCACAATTCCTACGATAGATCGCCATTTAAACAATGTGCATGCCTTGCACTATATGCGGCGTGTTAAAAGATTTGGGCATTGTTGGGAATGATATGAAGCTCAACAATGATACAATGCAAGACTATACATACCGCTTAATGGATTTTTTGCCACCGTGTCGGACCTTCTCAATCCATCGATAGGTTTAAAATGTCATGCTTTTTGGCGACGCATGGTGACAAAAATTTCTTTGGCTCTTGGTTAGATGTTGCCTCTGTTGTGGTTGTTGCTCATGGTGCAAGTATGTTGTTGTTGGTTCAGTTATCCTACTTAGTTTTTGTAGCTGTTGTTTTTCTGTTGTAATCCTGTTGTTTGTTCGGTCTTGTCAATTTAATTGGCAGCTCTCATGCCTTGTTCGTTTCAAAATGTCATAGCAGAAAAAAACTGGAATAAACCAGATTGGGAAGCCTGAAATGGTGAAACCATATAATACTGATCTGCGTGACCAACAACAGAAAATGATAATGTGTACAACACCAACCAAGCATACTTAGTATTTAGAGAGATATAAATCATTCGGTTGGAAGATTATTTCACACAAGCACGATGACACAAACTCAGCTCAGGTACAGCTGACACGACACAAAGACGCCAGATATAACCATCGACGACCAGAATCATTCTTAGAGCAAAACCAACGCAGGCAGGACGATTGTTGGCCTCACCTTAAAAGATGTGCTCCACGTAGATCCGTATAAATTGAGACAGTAAATTCTACGACGCAGACCAACATATCCTATTTACTTTTTGATCGCACTGCTATCTCTCTCTCCTCAAATGTCGTTTTCAAGAAATTGCTTTTGCATCTTACCAACCAGTAAGGGTCATCCGTCCTCCTTTCTCCTTTCTAGCCAGGCTAATGCTTTTTTTCTGACGAGACTTTGGGTTCTTCTGCTGAGAGACTGCGAAGCCTGCATCATCCCATTACCTCTCTCTTCCAGATGGCATCCGAGCCTATGTGTCATTGCAAGGCCGCTTGCTATACATGCTGGTGCGTTGGGGACGGCCTAATGGAGGCTTGTGGACTCCTGTGGGACAATCGACTTTTGCATGCATGCATGTGTTTCCATCACTCCAATGGATGGGGTGATGGAAACCGAGATACAACGGTCGACGGTCGGAAAGCCGCCCTACACGCGCCGAAGCCCACCCAAGAAAGAATTGGACCAAGTACAGAGGCGTGTATATATATGCCCGGCCGAGAAGAACCTCTTGCGACGCAGGAGAGCAGGAAGGGTGACGGGAGGTTGTGGCCGGATAAGGTCAGAGCATCCGTCGTTAGCTGACAAAGTTCTATTTTTTTTTCTTATACTAGCAAATATACCCGTGCATTGCAACGGAATCCGATACACCTTGAAATAGTACTGCATACTATTATTGGACGCGAGTTGTTCTAACTCATATGAGCACAGATCATGAGTTAGATCACATATGGAACACATAGGGCGTAAGACATGGTATGTTTATCATATCGAATTTGGATTAGGTTTATTGACATGTACGTGGAGGATGAACTCGAGCCCCCAAGTGAGTTTCTAAAAGCAACGTAAAAAGAAATTTCTCATCTTTAATACTATATATATATTATAGATTGGATGATAAATTATTTAAGAGTTCAGTCACGGATTATTTATTATAGAGAAGGATAAATAGTTTAAATATACATAATACTATATATTTGTTATTTATTATTTTTGTTTATAAAAAATGGAGACAAAAACACACACACAACTGAACGTGGGTTTCCATATGAGGCAGAAAAAAAAAGAAACAAAAAAGGAACCAGAAAAGAACACTCGGACGGAATCATATTCCATGCCAAAAAAAAAGATGGTTCCATGATTGCCGAAGCCGAGACACTTTAGAATTTTTAGGTTGGACGAAAAATTATTAGTGGTAGAAATTTTATCTCTTTGGTATTATATTTAGATATAGATATATATATAGATCACAACTATCGAGATCACTTGAATCACAAGTTGAAACAACTGTGTACACAGTCACACAAATATTTGGTTGCACTACGTAGAATATGATTTGGATGAGTGAGGGGTGTTTGAGGTGGATCTCTCTTTTTCTGCCCCTACAAATCAATTTCCAGAAATCACGAAAAAATGGGCAAAAAATAGCAATTTTTTTAATCCGAGGAGGTCCCCACCGGCAGCCACACCACCCACTCTATCGTTGTAGCCGATTTTTTTTGCGCTGGGGGATTCAAACCATAACCCTCCCTCATTTAAACTCCTCCATTGCACCTCACGTTCACTTGTGTCTACAATCCATTTCGGTTGCCCACATATTATACAAAATTGAGCATAAATTGATTGTTTGAGGCCCTAAACTAATTCAAATGAAAAAGTTATCAACTACAAAGTTTTATAACTTTTCGAGATCTACAACTTTCATTTTAGTAGTTTCTCCATCCGAGGTCACTTATAAAATTTAAATTTCAAATTTGAGAAATTCGAACGTAGTTTTCCATGACAAGATGATTTCAAATGAGAAAGTTATCAACTACAAAGTTTCATAACTTTTCAAGATTTACAACTTTTATTTTTACTGTTTGTCCATCCAAGGTCGTTTAAAAAATTCAAATTTCAAATTTTTGGAAATTCAAACGTAGTTTTCCTTGACAAGATGATTTCAAATTAAAACGTTGTCAACTACAAAGTTTCATAACTTTTCGAGATCTACAACTTTCATTTTGGTTGTTTTCCATCCAAGGCCGTTTACAAAATTTGAATTTTAGTGCTTAATTTTTAAATTCGGCGTCTATTTGTAGGAGAAATATTTATCTACAAATCCGATTTGGTATTAGGTATAAACCGCGCCTACAAATAGATATGAGTCATGCTGATAACACGGCCGCCTCTACAAATCTATTTCACAAGTTCATTTGACAACATTTATGTGGCTCAATATAGTCCGCACACAAAAAAGGAGATGTTGCCACAAATCGTTTTTTTAGTAGTGTTGCACACCAACAAGGGAATTTATTTTTTAAGATACATTATTCAAGAGGGAAATAAAGTAGCAGTACTAGATACAAACATACACGGACAACCAATTTTGATATTTTGAACAGTACATAAGGCGATACGACAAGACAATCACGAATATTTGACTGCAATTTGGAATTGGTTGGAGTTGGACCTCGAGGACCTATCATTCGCTGCCTTTAGCTGCTCCAGTATTGCGTGGCATAGTGCACGGTTGTCCTTGTCACCATCGACCGTAACCTTTTTCAGGCTGGTCAAGTGTTCAATGCCAACGATGCTTCCCTCCGCCACGTGTCTGGACCTGGAATCGAAGCCCAGTTCAAGCATCTCAAGCATTGCCATGGATCCTTCCTCGAATTGGATAACTTTGGGTAGATAACCTCCAAGTATCAGGTCCGTGAGCACCGGAAATTTGTGGATGGCACATGCAACCAGCTCATCACGGTCCTTATAGCATTCCCAACCCACGCACAAAGTCTTGAGGTTGGGCAGCATACACAGCACGCCAAAGAGGTCATCGTCAATAAGGGTTGTACGCACCATAGTAAAACTAACAAGATGTGCGAGTGACCCGATCCACCTGGGCAACCCATTGACGATGATCCAAAGGGTTCGGAGGATTTGTGGTGGTGTTGGCAGGTGATGGAGAAAGTTTAGTATCTTGCCATCGTCGTCACTACTTCCAGGTCGTCCTATTAAGAGCCACCGAAGGGAGTGCATCTTACTTATGGACAGAGCAAGCTCTTTGAGAACCTCCTCATCAATGGTCTTGTTGCTGTCGATGGTCAAGTCTAAGGGGCCGTTTGGTACAGCTCCCTGGGTAGCTCCCGGAGCCATTTTTGCACTTCTTCAACCAAACGGGGCAACACAAACGGCTTTGCGCTCGGAGTCGCGGATATTCCGTTGAGAGAAGAGGAGAGAGAGGGTGGGAGCTAGAAAATCGTAGCTTCCATCGGCTCCGCTTGCTCCAGTGGGCCCAGCGCAAGGCGACAGGCGGATTTACCCTCACTGGGACGTTCGGGTGCCGAGTAAGCCGAGGGTGACGCTCGGGCTGCTAGAGTCGCCGAGGTGAGCCCCCGGGCGGAGCCGCGCCGATGGCGCTTGAGCCGCTGCTTGAGGCCGCCGTTGTCTGGGGCTTCGGAGCGTAATGGGGCGCCGTGGAGCCGAGGCGCATGCCACCGAGGTCACCGATGCCGTCGCACGTGAGGATGTGGATGCAGGCGGCCGTCGGGCGTCGGTGGTTGAAGAGATGCGGATGGCTGGATGCAGATAAGGTCGTGGGGCTGCGGATGGTTGGATGCGTCTGTGGTTTGACCGATGAGATAAGGTTGGGAAAAGAAAAGAAAAGAAAATGAAAAAGGAAAAGGAAAAGAGAAAAAAGAAAAAGGGTATTATGGACATTTCAACCTTTTGGACTACTGGAAGAAGTTGTTTTGTCAAACGGTCATAAAAACTGTTCCAGCTCTCTGATTGAATCTGCTCCACAGGTGAAGCCATAACTGAAGCTGTTTTGACTAGAGCCGGAGCTCTACCAAAGAGGCCCTACCTCTTGTAGTTGATCTAGTTCACCTACATCTTGGGCAACTTTAGAGTCATTCCCAAGCCATAGCCTACATAACACACGTAGGGCCTTCATTTTGTTTATTCCTCGGGGCATAGTCGACACAGTACCCCAAAAATCATCCTTGTTGGAGAACCATATGTCCTTGAGTTTTCTCTAGCTTTGTGATAGTTTCTAGCAGCTCAGTAAGGAGCGTGTGAGCTAGATCAAGCATCTGTAAATGTTGTAGATTGCCGATCTGCCTAGGACACCATGGCCTCAAGCTTAGGAACCTTAGGTATAAATTGTTTCACATGCTTGTTTGATACTCAAGCCATCTTCTAGGTCAAGCACCCTCAAGAGGACGGAAGTTGCCTAGATTTTTAGGAGCTTGTGTTGCCTATTGATTGTAACAAGCTGGATGAACATTATCTTTGCATGTTCAAATTATCCTCGCCTCTGTGACTTTAACAGCCAAACACATGGATCGAGAGGAAACGGATCTTGTCATACAACGTCCCCTTATCTTGCCTCCATGCAAACTAAGAAAATTAGCCTCCAAAGACTTGGACAATGACCTCAAGAAGCATGTCATGCACCCTATATCTTTGCTCCCTCCACTCATGACCCTCCAATGGCCTGCTTCTTCAATCATGTTCCTACTCAAGAGTTCGTCCAGGTAAGATTCTGCAACCTCCCACATAGTCAACCCCCGCTTCTGATGAACCAATCCTTCAGCCATCCATCTATTCAGTAGTCGATCCTTTCTGATCACATAGTCCTCTGAAAAAATGCTGAAGTACATCATGCAGCTCTTAAGATCATGAGGGAGGTGATTATAGCTGAGTGTGACTATATGCTTCATCCCTTCAAGGGTAGGGTGGATCTCCATATGAGAACCAAGTGATTTGCAGACTCTATCCCACTTATCTTTGCTTCCAGGTGATTTGTACCCTACCAAGACACTAGTAATGCTGACAATGGTCAATGGCAGCCCACCACATTTTTTCAAGATGTCGCCCATGACATCTTCAAACTCTTTGGGGGTACGTGGCATCCATGGAGCCAAACACTCCACTGACGAACAACTTCTTGGAATCTTCAAGCTTAAGGGGTTCCATTTTATGAATTCAATGGCCACTAGCAGTACCAGGACTGCATGCATTGGCCACTGTTTCTATCCGAGTGGTCACGATGATTCTACTACCCTTGTTGTTCTCTAGCACCTTTGATTGCCTCCCATGCTCTCTGCGCACCAAATATCATTGATTGGATTGCCTCCCATGCATAGTATAGCGGTCTATAAACATCATCAATGACTATGAGGTGCAAAATGGTTTAAGCATGCATACTATAGTTAGTTTAGTCCTATATCCATAAGGCAATTAATGACCCTGCATGTGCAAAATGTATGGGAACGTTTAGGTGGAGTCTCTTTATTTTTTTCAGAAAAAAGGTTGTCACTATTATTAAATATATTTCATCCAAGAAAAAGGTTACATCATAATAGATTCAACACATCGGAAAAAGGTGGGTAATTTGAATTAAATTTAAGAGCGAGGTTCAACACATCACAAATCGAATATTTTCACAATGCAGAAAAGATGTGGTAATTAGAAAATTAGAATAGATCTAATAGTGACAATTATTAGAGGTGCTATACTTCCAAGATGTGACGGTGACAATTATTAGATCTAATAGTGACAATTACTAGAGGCACTATTAGAATAGATCTAATAGTGACAATTATTAGATCTAATAGTGACAATTATTAGAGGCACTGTTAGAATAGATCTAATAGTGACAATTATTAGATCTAATAGTGACAATTATTAGAGGCGCTATACGTCTCATCACCTCCGCGCATGAGGTGATGGGGAAGAGCGGGACATCATCATCTCGAGGGCAACGAAGGCTGGCGCCCTCGGCACCAGTGGTGGGAGGAGTGGTGTGTGAGGCATGGGGAGATCGAGGAGATAGTCTGCGGAGTTGGGAGGAGTTGGGAGCCGTGCCGCCACGATTGATAAAACGCCACCTAGGATGTCTGTCGGTTCGATAATTCGATCGGTAAATAGACATCTCGGAGCCAAGATCAATGTCGGTTTTAGCCCGAGACTCAATTATTTTCTTGTTTTCAAGCTCGGCGCCATGAGTTCTCACGAATCCGGAAGACGGTGATGAGGCCAACGATGATGTCTAAATCTGTAGTAGTGTATGAGAGCGTTTAGGTGGGTCCAAAGATGAATTTTAAGTCTCCCAATGGGTTATCATAATAGCATAGGTGGGTAATTTTTTTTTTCAAAAAAGGCCAAATTGTAATTAAAAATTTAGATCTAATAGGCAATTATTACTTCCCATTAGGGTTGATGTGGACTTTTAAGAGGAAGACTCTAGTAGTAATAGTAAGATGCTGTAAATATGGTATCATTAGAATTACCACGGGAAGTCTATTTTTGTAATGTGCGTATTAATTGGAAGCTCCTTTAATTTGAAGCCCCGCGTTTAATCCATGTTAGAAAAAATAGTCATTATAGATTCTTATAAGTATTCAGAACATAATATATACCATTTAACTCATAATCGCCATTTACTACAATAGCCATTAGATCTAACATATTTCTAATTTTTTTCTACTGTTAGATACAAAAATGAACTCAAAGTTCCCAGACACATGCTTGTGCGAATAATCAACGTTTCATTATTAAAAAAATGGACCTAGTTACTCGATCCAATATTTGCTTTTAATAAATTACCTACCTATGCATTTATGCATAAAAGCTAGCTTAAAGAACACATACCTACTTCAAACATACATATATACCATTATAATAACAAAATTAATCAATAATGCTGATACCATGGACCATTAATTCCATATGCTCTTCACTTATTAAAATATTAATTTAGGTTCCATTTTTTCAATTGTAAGTGGAAGTGGTGGGTAAAACCTGAAAAGAGAGACATATTTAACCATCGTGACCATAGATAGAGTAAAATGCATCATCGGTGGTCCTCGATGTTGGATCAAGGTTTAACTTAAATAGTTCTCCATACTTTGAATAATTAAAAAAAAATCGTTTGAAGATATACTATTATTAAAACATTAGTTTTTTTTGTTTAAATAACAAAACTGTGTTGTCCACAGCTTTTTCTTAAGCCTGACATCCACCCAAAAGCTCCAGAAACTAAGCGTCGTCCCTACTGATAGAAATCGTGGGAGGCGACTTCTATTCTTAAAGTCTCCCAATTTTCTAATAGCTCCAGGTATCAATCAGGAATTCAGGATGCTGTTGAAAGTGACTAGAGAGTTTGTAACTAGAAGAAAAAGAATTAAGCTCTGTATATAGTCTATATACCTCTTGTCCGCGAGAAGCTCCTCGAGTTTTTTTGGCTAGCCCGTTGTCATCCATGTCGTGGATTGCACCCAGGGCAGCCTCTTCCTTGATGCCCCTGTCGTCAGCTGTTTCGGGCTTGACGACCTGCCGAAGAAGGTTGGTGAGCAACAGCTTGAGGTCCCTGGTCGGCTGGAAGGCCCGAGACACCGACACCATCGCCTGCCACGGGAACTCCGCTTCCAGCAGCCGGCACACCTCTGTGGACAGCGTCGTCTTGCCAAGTCCGCCGAACCCGACGATGGAAAAAACAGCCTTTGCGTTCACCCTCGTCGCCAACCGGCGCCTTGAGCCGTGCAGCCAGTTTATGAGCCTGCTCCGCGATGCTGACCAGGCGGCGGTGGCGGCGGTCGGCGGCGTCGTTAGCTGGAGCGGACACTGACACTGGCATGGGGGCAGCAGGCAGCAAAGGAGGGGAGCAGCGGCGCAGAGCGTCTCGGTTGACGCCGAACCGCGCCTGGCGCTCGCTGATGGCTACGGCGCGGGCACGGAGGGCGCCGATCTGGCCGGCGAGGCGGCGGCGAGACAGGAGCGTCCCGAGCAGGCGTCCCAGACAGGCGCGCACGCCGTCGTTGGGCCGCCGGGACTCGACGCGGAGTGTGTAGAGGTCGATGCAGTCCTCCGCGTTGTACGCAACCTCGCGCAGCTGCCTCATGCACACCTGGAGGAAGCGGTCCACGGCCCCATCCTCTGCCTCGGACTGCATGATGAGGAGGGCGTTGATGGCCTCCAGTTCGTCCCGCAGCTCAAGAACTTGGCCGGCGACGCTAAGCAACGCCGGGCGCCTGCTGAGCAAGGTTTGCGCCGCGCCCTCCATAGCTCTCTCACTGTCTCTTTCTCCGTGTCCGTGTAAGGCTGTGTGTTTAGTTCAAAAAATCCCCAAAAGTGCTACAGCAGTCATCACATCGAATCTTACAATACGTGCATGGTCTATTAAATATAAACAAAAAAAAATTAATTGCACAGTTTAGTTGAAAATCGCAAGACGAACGTTTTGAGCCTAATTAGTCCATAATTGAACACTAATTACTAAATAAAAACGAAAATACTACGGTAACCAAATTTCCAAATTTCACACGAACTAAACACAGTCAAAAGTTAAAAAAAGAGCCACAAGCAGTGTGCTGCGCACAACCGAACGAGAAGGGGGAGAAATTTATGCTGCTGGCCTGGACACTGGAGCCGAGCTGCTGCGGAGTGGAGGTCTCAGTCTAACGGCCTTTCGCGATGAGACGGGGTGCGTGGACTCGCAACTCAAGACCGCGTCGGCGTGGCTGCCCCGACCAAAATACGTGTTCGTCCCACCGGCCTGTCCTGTCCTGGCGTCCAGTCATATGAGCCCCGTGGCGACTAGGGCAGGTGCCTCGAGCTATCTGCCAAACGCCATGAGCGGCGCCGCGTTGAGACCTGAGACTGTCACGTGAAATGAATATCCAGAGTATCTACGCGCGCGTTGAGGTGGTCGGAGGCGAGGCCGCAATTATTTTTAGGCTAAACATTCATTAGGCTAGTCCTAAATTGAAACTATGATTAGTTTCCATAGCATTCAGAGCATGTTTGATCCACATGGTGAGTTACTAGTTGGACTAAAATTAGCCAAAATGATCTATAGTTGACTAGCTAATAACTAGTTAAAGACTCTGAAATATTAGTTCATCCATTGGTCCTCCTATTTGGATGGACTAGAGCTAATTTTTAGCTAGCTAGTAATTAGCCCTTGGATCCAAACAACCCTTAACAGGTTCTCATGTCAGCAAAAAGTTTAATATGATTAGTGATTTAACGAAGAAAAAGAAAAAAAAAAGAAAATTGTTTCTCCCTTGAGAAACAATTTGGGCTTGCTATCTAACTACTAAAGAAACCAGGAGTCGTTTCTTCCTCGAGCTTGGCTTCTTCACTATGGCATACGCCACCGCCCACGCTCGATCGGCCCTTCACCACCAGGCACCAACCCTACTTGGCTACCTATGTCCGTCCGTGGCCGCCTCTGCTCTAGCCTTTTTTTTTTTTTGCAGTTTTCTCTTTAAGTGGGAGCCAGTCAATGATGTGTAGTCTACTTGGGCTCATAGGAACTCCGAGATATTTCAAAAAGAAGATGCCAACTTGACAGTTAACTAGATTAACATATTGATGATCCCAGTTGTTATAATCATTAATCACAACCACCTTGCTTTTGCTAAAATTGATTTTCAAGCCAGACATGATTTCATAAAGATATAAGAGCAATTCATGGAAATGGGAGATGGTGGCTACATATATGGTAACATGCCTTTCTGGTATCTTGTGTCATGGAGTTTATTTGTTGGCTTCATCATTTCAGTGAAATCCAAAAGGCCAATTGTTTGATATGTTCTCAAATACATTAACTCTCTTGTCCATACCTTTTATTTATCTATGACGACCATTCTTATGGGCATCAATCATGACCCATTAAAGAAAGGCAACATATCAGATGCAAACCAAGCAACTTGTGAAAACTTAGAAACTATCGATTAGGAACACAGGATGTCAATCCAATGGATGGGGTGAGAGGCGACACGATTTTGCGCTTAAGCTCCCCACCTGCTGGCTTTTTTTTTCAAAAAAAATCCCCTGCCCCCTCCTGTGCAAATTCACCGTCAGAGGCCTGCGCCGCACCCAGGTGATTCATCTGGTCGCCCCAGCCCTACGCCGCCAGAGATCTGCGCCGCCCCCAGATCCGGGAGTTAAAATACGCCGCCAGAGACCTGCTACCGGCGACGGCGAGTTAAAATAGTCCGCTTGTGTTCCACGCAGGGCGTGGGCAATGGAGGCTGCGTTTACTTCCCAAAAAGTTTCCAAAAAGTGTTATAGTAGCCATCACATCGAATCTTATGATATGTGCATAGAGCATTAAATATAGACAGAAAAAAAATAATTACACAACTTGAATTGAAAATCACGAGACGAACATTTTAAACCTAATTAGTCCATAATTAAACATTAATTACCAAATAAAAACGAAAGTACCACGGCAGCCAAATTACCAAATTTCATGAACAAAACACGCACTGGGCATCACCTCTTTTATATACTGTGAGCTTGATCCTGCACTGACGACGGCCAGGCCTTTTGGCAGGCAGGCAGGCAGCACTTTGTCCTGGATGCCGGCCGGATCCCTGTAGGCTGTAGGAGTAGCTATCAGCCTGTCAGTCGTCTCTGTCATCTCTGTCAGCCTGGAACACGCGCGGACTATTTTAACGCCCGGACCTGGGGGCGTAGCTATCAGCCTGTCAGTCGTCTCTGTCATCTCTGTCAGCCTGGAACACGCGCGGACTAGTCTGTGTTTAAGTTCAAAAAAATTTCCCAAAAAGCTCTACAGTAACAATCATATTAAATCTTCCGATACGTGCATGAAACATTAAATATAGACGAAAAAAACTAATTGCACAGTTTGGTTGGAAATCGCGAGACGAATATTTTGAGCCTAATTAGTTCATGATTGAACACTAATTGTCAAACAGAAACGAGAGTGCTACAACTAAATTTCCAAATTTCCGAACTAAACACAGCCTTTTAACTCCCGGACCTGGGGGCGGCGCAGGTCTCTGGCGGCGTAGGGCTGGGGCGACGAGATGCGAATCACCTGGGTGCGGCGCAGGCCTCTGTCGGTGAATTTGCACAGGAGGGGGCAGGGATTTTTTTTTTTGAAAAAAAAGCCGGGGAGCTTAAGCGCAAAATCGTGCCGCCTCTCACCCCATCCATTGGATTGACATCCTGTGTCCCTAATCGGTAGTTTCTAAGTTTTCACAAGTTGCTTGATTTGCACCTGATATGTTGCCTTGAAGAAATGAAAAATCATGACTTCTTTCTTATTCTTACTTGTGTTCTTGGATTAGCCTTTGTATCACGGTTAATCGAGCAGCCGCACTGTTGGTAACTATAAAAGATGCAGTGTTGAGATTATAAAGTTCATGTCTTTGTGATCAGAAGTTGGATTGCGTGTTAAGTGTCCACCAAAACGAGAGTTACTGCAATGAGGTCCCGTTTGACATAGCTCCACCATTAGCTCATAGAGCTGTTTGGAGCTAGTTTGTGTCAAATAGGGTAAAACAAAACAGTTCCACTTAAGGAGCCTTTTAAAATTTGCTCTCACAAAGGATTGGTATAAGGTGGGAGCTAAAAATGGTAGATTTACCCCGCTCCACCTTGCTCTGGTGGATCCAGTGTGGGATTCTGTGTGAGCATATTTTAATGAGTTCCATATATTGAGCTGTTTTGTCAACAATTTATCAAAACAACTCTAACTGTAGAGCTGAGCTGAAGCAAAAAAGAAAAAGAAGAAGAATAGCTTCACTGATAAAGTGGAATCGTGCCAACACGACTTAAACCAGCACGAGTTTATATATGTGAGTGAAACTTATATAATGCGAACCTCTCTTTGAAACTATATATATATTGCGAACCTCCCCAGACAAAACTTGTGGTTTATATATGTGCACGTATTGTTCGAATAAAGAATATATATGTGTGTGCACGTGCTCGAATTGGACAAACGACAGAAACAACCGACAGCTCTCCAAGTCTCCACTGGGCACTGGCAGCACTAGTTATTCGATTAGCACCCCATCCCTTGTGAAATTTGTGTCACAGTAGGTAGTACTACGCCACCTCTTGAGAAAAAGTTTGCTCTGAGGAAAAAGAAAATGTATGAGGTACTAGCCTGCAAAGCTCCTCCCCATCAAGAATAAAGCCATGAAACGTACGCTGCAGCTCATAATCCAGACACGAGTGAAGTGACAAGTGAGTGGCCGACGGCTCCTCCCTTCTGTTGCTCCATCCACTGGCCATTGCAGTGGCAGTGGCAATGGTTCGCCTCGCCGGCAGCGTTGCTGCCTTTCTTCTCGTCTTCCACCTCGTCGTCTCCGCTGCCTCTGGAAGCAGCAGCGTCGTTCTTGGGCGAAAGGGCAGCGTCGCCGCCGCCGAGCAGTCGCCGGCGGTGGAGGAGGCGGTCTCGAGGGGACAACCAGCGGGGAGGTACGCCGTCATCTTCGACGCTGGGAGCACGGGCAGCCGTGTTCACGTCTTCAAGTTCGACAAGGAGCTCGACCTCGTCCCCGTCGGCGGCGACATCGAGTTCTTCTCCAAGGTATGTAGGTGCTCAGTTGTAGTTACCACTTCACTTCAGCTTCAGAAAGGAAATATAGACTCAACAAGAGTGAACAATATTTGACTTTAAAAAACAAGTGACAATAATGCAACGGAAGAACACGAACAGTGCATGATGACCGTATGTGGCCGCATCCCGAAAACGTGCCAACACCCCAGTAAAAGCTTGTAACCGGTTGGTGGTGGACCTTATCCTTATTATGCTGAACGCCGATATACAAGGGGCTCACACAGCATGTGGCCTGTTGGGGTCCTCACATGGTCCTCAAATTTGGATGCTGGTGTACACTTTAGCAATAACATATAAGAATAAGAAAGACGGAAAATAAATTTGAAACAACATTTCTTTCATTTGCCCCTCTTTATATGCAAAGCAAAGTTACTGAGTGGATTATTGATGAATTACTACGTGTCCATGTTTGTGACTTGTTGATGATGCAGATAAAGCCCGGGCTGAGCTCATTTGGGGAAACCTCAAGAGGCTGCAAATTCTATACTCCCCCCTTCTTGAGCAGGCTAAGGAGATTGTCCCTCCCAGGCTTCAGAAAATACTCCACTCAAACTTGGGGTAATAAATTGTTTTCTTCATCTAAGTTCATCATCTAGTGAAAAGAAAATCTCAGGACCTCCTCCATATACATTTTAGCTGTCCATGTTTCAATAGACCTGTCACTCTATTGAAAGTCCTGTTCGGTCTCGAACTGAAGTGTTTCCATAAAAATTGCAGGCAACAGCTGGTCTAAGACTAATTGGAGACGAGAAGGCAGAGGAGATTCTTGAAGCGGTAGCTTACCATCTTACTAACCAAATTATGCCTTGTGTGTATTCTAGATATATACAAAGTTTTCTTTTTCTTAATTTTTTTCTAAATGCAGGTCCGAGATCTTGTCCACACCAAGAGCAAATTCCAGTACAATCCCAAATGGATCACTGTTCTCGAGGGAACTCAAGAAGGATCTTACCTATGGGTATGTACATTATTCCTAACTTCTGTGTTATCTACTAATTTCCTTGTTTTTTTTTGTCAGGAAAAATGTGTAATATATCTCGTGTACTCAGCTTGTAAAGTATGATGCATGTGGCACATGTATGTGTTGTAGGTTGCTCTGAATTATCTGCTAGGTAAATTGGGAGGGACTACTCGAAGACGGTTGGTGTGATCGATTTGGGAGGTGGATCAGTGCAAATGGCATATGCCATTTCCACGAGTGCTGCTGCAAATGCTCCAGCTGTGCCTGATGGGAAGGATCCATATATTACAAAGGAGTACCTCAAGGGAAAAGATTATAACCTCTATGTTCACAGGTTTAGCAAACATTATGTTCAAACTTTAACTTACCTAGCCTAGCTTTCAATAACTTTTACATTTTGTTGGAAAGAGTATATGATGGCGCTTACTACATCGTTTAGTGTTTGCAGTTTTTACATTACAGTAATAATCGTCAAACCATGACGATTCAGTAAAATAATTATTAAACCATGATGAAGGTTTTCTGTATCAAATCATGAACTAATCATGTATGCTCTGGTTTGTGACCAATGCAAGTAATCTTCCTTGTTTACCTCTGCAGTTACTTGTACTACGGCATGTCTGCTGTTCGAGTAGAGATCCTGAAGGCAAAGAATGGGCCATTTAGCCAATGCGTATTGCGTGGGTTCAGTGGTATGCTGGCATACATGCATAATCAGCCTCCTTCTTGTTTATCAATTCATCGTTTTTCCAGTAACTAGCAGACTTTGCTATCATATCATTCATTAAGGTACATACAGCTACAATGGGAAGGACTATGACGCAACGGCGTCACCTGAAGGCGCAGTGTATGATAAGTGCAGAGAAGACATAGTAAAGGCACTAAACCTGAGTGCACCATGTAAAGCAAAGAACTGCACCTTTAACGGCGTCTGGAACGGAGGCGGTGGAGCTGGCCAGGACGATCTCTACGTTGCATCTTTCTTCTTTGACAAGGCTTCACAGGTATATATAATATAAGTTAGCAACTCCTGATCATGTATATATAAACCTTCACAACTACCAGAGATGTTGAAAATGGAGTTTGAGCATCAACCAATGATTCACATGACTCACTTTGCAGGTTGGCTTCATTGACAGTGAGGCACCCAGCGTGAAGTCCACCCCATCGGCATTCAAAGCTGCTGCAGAGAAAGTTTGTTTGCTGAGCGCCGATGAAGCCAAAGCAGGGTACCCTGATCTCTATGATGTGCCATACATATGCATGGATCTCATCTACCAGTACACATTGCTTGTAGATGGCTTTGGTAAGTGCAGATAAAATGCATGTTTAGATATCAGGAAAATCTCCATGTCGGATGGTCGATATTCGCTCAACAATTGACACTCAGGTATTTGGAACAAACCAATTAATTAAATGTGGTTTACACAGGTTTGGCTCCAACGAGGGAGATTACTTTGGTGTCTAGAGTGAAGTATGGGGAGTTCTACGTTGGGGCAGCATGGCCTCTAGGCACTGCCATTGAAGCTGTTGCACCCAAGAAGATGAACCAGGATACATAAGGTAGTCTTTTGTAATAATCTCTGATGAGAAATCACTCTGTCGTGCCGATGTTCTGAAATAATTTCAGTCTAGTTCATGAGGATAAACTTTATAGGAGCTAAGACTGATGACGAGAAGCTCTTCTAAGAGAGAATAATAATGCAGATCATTTTGGTGCCCATTCATCTTGAGTTTCATGATTCAGTTTTTACATGGATTTGACATTGGCTGAACAATTCGTTTCAAAGAATACACTTGTGCAGTGCGAGAGAGAGTCTGCTCGCCCCCGCTCCGCCGCCGGTGGCCACTCCGGCCCCGGCGTCCACCAAGCACATCGCCGCTGACCGCGTGGTGGCACCGCCCACCCCAGCCATGGAGCCCGGCTCTTGCTCTTGTCGTTCTTGGGCGGACGAGGTCGAAGAGGATGAGGCTGTTGGCGCCGGCTCCCGGAGTGGGATGCCCGACGGCGATTGGCGTTGGCCGGCGATCACTCACCTCGCACGACGTCGCTCACGACACAGCACACACACGAGAGAGTTTCAGTTTTCGCCGCCTGAACGTTGCGGCCCTTTTCGGGTTGTTCTCATCTCTTTATTCATACGGTGTTTACATGATTGCTAGATCCGATATCCCCGCCATGCCTGCGCACGCTGCGCCATGCCCGCCTGAAGCGCGGGGTCGTTTGTCATACGTGCGTGGCGGAAGACCTGGTCACCGCACCGTGAACGTAGCACGGTTCTGGTGCTACACCGTTTCTTATCATGCAGCTAGCTATTACATAATTGGAAACATGCATTGCCTAAATTACAAGAATGCTAATGCAGAACGTGCACGGATTCAGCTAACAATCACCCCTAATCCCGGCGCACATCAATTACTCCCATTGCTGCCTCAACTCTATGAATCGACCTTTGCTAATGCCTTCATCAGAATATCAGCCAACCGGTTCGAAGTGCTCACATGATCAATGTCAATGCTGCCATTCTCAACACATTCTCGACAAAATGATACCTAGTATCTATGTGCTTGCTTCGATCATGATGAACAGGATTCTTGCTCAAAGCTATGGCAGATTTGTTATCAACAAGGAGACCGACCTTTGGAGCACGAATGCCCAAAGCAGTTCTCCCAACAACCTTCTTGAGCCAAATACCCCGACAGCTGCATTTGCACTTGCAATGTACTCGGCCTCACATGACGATAGAGCAACCACTCTTTGTTTCGTGACACCCACGTGACCAAATTCATGCCCAAGAAGAATCTTCGAGCCACCAAAGAGTACTTTTTCTATCATCTATATCACCGCCAGATCAACATCACTGAATCCCGTAAGCTTGGGTTTCAAGTGCTTGATCTCATATATCTGCAGACCATACCTTACAAGCATCGACTAGGTAATTGAGTATCTGCTTTTCGCTGCTTGATGACTTGTCTTTGGTGCCTCCATGTATCTACTTACAATACCAACTGAATAAGCAATATCTGGTCTAGTGTTCACCAAATATCTCAGGCTCCCAATTATATTCCTGTACTTCGTTGTATCAACAGGTGGGGACTTATCATTCTTGCTCAGCTTCAACTTGTTCTCCATAGGAACATGACAAGGATTGCATCCTTTCATACCAGCTTGCTCAAGAATTTTTATAGTATATGCACTCTGACAAAGTGTAGTCACCCCTTCTCTCTCGATTGACCTCCATCCCCAAGTAATAGGACCAGAGGCCAAGATCACTCATCATGAAGCTGCTCATCATTTGTTTCTTGAATGCATCAATGCTCTCTTGGCTTGTCCCTGTGATTATCAAATCATCTACATAGACACCCACCAGGAGGAAACCTTTGTTTTCAATTGCCTTTCAGACACAAGATGTTCCAGTGGGTTCTGACAAAGCCCACTTCAAAAGCTCTTTGTCAAGTCTTGCATTCCAAGCTCGGGTGCTTGACGCAACCCATATCTGAGCCTTCTTCAGTTTGAGTACCTTACCATTTCCATTTTCAACAACAAAGCCGGGAGGTTGTTGGACATATACCTCCTCTACCAAATCTCCATTCAAGAATGCCGATTTGACATCCATGTGATGCACTCTCCAACCACATCTTGTTGCTAGAGCCAACAATAATCTCACAGTCTCAATTGCAGCTCTGAGGGCGAAGACCTCCTCAAAGTCCACCCCTCACGCTTTGAGCATAGCCCTTTGCCACAAGTCTGGCCTTATGTTTGATTATTTTTCCCGAGGGTCCTTTTTCACCTTGAAAACCCACTTCAGCCGATGGCCTTATGACCTTTTGGTAAATCAGCCGACTCCATGTTCTATTAGCGTGAATTGATTCCATTTCAGATTACCATTGCATCTCTCCAACACTTCTCCTGAAGAGCATCCCCAACACTATTAGGTTCTTCTCTGCAGCCAAGTAACACAACCCATTGTATTCAAGTCCTGGACTTCTGGAGAGGTATCAATGATAT